CACTCCTTTTGCTCAAGTGGCATCAGGTCCCCTCTCAGAGGATAGTGATGGCCTGCAGCATGTCTGCCAGCACATATGAGCTGTCCCAAGAGTGCCCCAACTGCTGCATTGACCCCTCCAGTGCCTGAGCAAGCACTGTGAGCTCCACGGGGTCCCTCCGGCTCTTGGGGCTGGGCTGGCAGAACAAGATCTCATTGACTTCCTCATCGATGCGGCGTGCGTAGAGCAGGGGGAAGACTTCCCTGAGGATGGCCAGGACAGACTCCTTCAGCCGAGCATCACGGCACACCAGGTTGAGCACAAAGACCCCTGCAGTAGAGCAGAGGGATTCAGTACAGCCACCTGTGAGCCTGGCATCCTGCACAGGCCTCCATGCTCACTCCCTCTCTACACATACATAGCAAATAAGTATCAGTACCACTGGTGCTACCAGCTCCATCCCACATGCAGCTCTGGGCAGCATAATGGGTGCCGTTGGCCCAGCTCCACATCACTGGGAGCTGGGATCTGCTGGGAAAGGCTGCTGCCACACATCAGTCACAGCAGCACAGCCACTGCTTTCCAGGATGAGGAAAGCACCCACCCACCACCCACTGTCCAGGACCAGCCAGCCCAGCCCTGGCACCTGCAGGGGCACCACCACCACCAGAGCCCACCTCGTACCTTCTGGCTTGAGAATGGTTTTAACTTTCTCCAGGAAGGGCTTCTCCACGAATGCTGGAGGTGGACAGCTCATTCCCAGTGTGAGGTCTTTACTGTCCACATCAAACATGATGGCATCATACTGATCTGGGGCTGCAAGAGGGAACACAGACTCATTATTCCATGGGACAGGGATGAGCCACATTGGGTGGGGAAGCAGCAAACATGATGGCCAGGCTCCCCCCTCTGCCACTTTCATCTGCTTCTCGTGCCAGCACCTTCTGGACTGGAGAAAGACAGCAAATAGAAGGTGCCCTGCACACACTGACAAGGACAAGCCTGCTTGCTGCAGGGACCTGTCAAGGCTGGAGCTTGTGACATATGGCATGAGGTGCAGAAGAAACATGGGGAACACCATCCCACAGCATGGCTGTCGTGGAAGGACAGGATAGCACAGGGAGAGGCAAGAGGCAGAGCTGGAAACCAGTAGGAGGGCAGGACAGGAAACAGAATTAAATCTCTGCAAGACAGTACCTTCAGCTGCCAGCTTGGCCACGTGGTCCAGGCCATCAGCAATGTGCACCTGCATCCGGTCACCCTGGGAGAAGCCAAACCAGCGCGTGGCCACCTCCAGCATGGAGGGGTCAATCTCCACCACAGCCACGTGGGCCTGCGGGAAGTAGTCATGGATGAAGAGGGGCAGGCTGCCGCCACCAAGTCCCACCACCAGCACTGCAATTGGGGCTCCTGCAAGGGGACAGAGCCCAGGTGAGCTCCAGGACTGCCACGCTCCCTCTGCCCATCCCATCCCACCTGCCCCAAGCTGCTTCTGGCTCCACAGCCTGAAAAACCCTTCCCACTCATCACCTGGCAGGGGGTCAGAGCTGCCCAGCAGGCAGAGCCCTGCCACCATGGCCTTGTGGTGCTCACAGCACAGATAGCTCTTGTCAATTGCCATAGGAGGCTCAGCAGGGCCAGGTTTCTTCTTGTCTTTCCTCCGTTTCTTCTGGCCTGAAAGACAGGAAGTAAGGTGAGGATGGAGCCAGGGATGCTTTCTGGGGACTGACCATCCCAAGCCCAGGTCCCACCAGCAATGCAGAGAGCAAAATCCCACCCACATCTGCACTGAGACAAGACAGACAGGCCCCAGCATGACTTTTCATCTTCTTCCTCACATTCATCTCACTCCCTACCACCCAAAGTCACCCTCAGCCCTGCCCCTGACCATCTCCTCATCATACCTGGGGGAGGCGCAGGGGCCAGGAGCCGTGCCTCTGACTGCACCACATTCTTGTTGCTGAGGAAGACGAGGCGACGGAAGTAGCACGCATCGTTCCCCTTGACATCCTCCACAACAAACTCCCCACTCAAGGGGCTGGTGTCACAGTGCCATACTGTCCGCACCCCGATGTCCCCTCCCACAGACAGGAAGGGCACCTGCAGGGAGGACAGAGACTCGTGGCATCTAGGCTATAGGGACAGGCCCTGGCCCTGTCTTGACTGTGTCTAGAGAGCTAGGATGAAGTTGACACATCCGGGGAGCAGCAGGATGAGCTGTAGGCAGTGCACAGGACACTGGGCTCATCCTGATCTATGTTGGGGTACAGGGAGCCAGCACCCAAAGGCCTTTTACAAGGGGAGCTTGGGGAGTTGGAACGAGAAGAAAGAAGAGATGGAAGAAGCTAAAGGTGGAAAGATAGGGCTAGATGCTCTCAGGTTTTTGGGATGGCCTTTTTGTGTGTGTGTGTGTGACTGGCATTCTGGGGTTGGCCCAGGCAATGGGAAAGCCAGAAAACCAAGTGAGTGGGCTCACCTGCTGCTGGGCGGGGAGGCCCGGCGGGGCCAGCTCCATCACCTTCCCCGACAGCTCTGCCTGGATGCTTGCCATGCCCTCATAGCACTGCTCCCTGTGCAGGGCCACGGTGACCAGGCGCCCAAAGCCCGCGCTGGCAGCCAGCTGCCTCCGCCCTTCCTCCGTCCCAAAGAGCCACTCGGTTTCTCTGCCCTGTGGGACTGCAGATGGGGGCTGCGGTCAGGAGAGCCCCAGGCAGGTGCTGGCCCCTGCACAACCACTCTGGAGAGGAACTGTAGGGTACAGAGATTTCACAAGGAGGCAGCACTGCGTGACACAGCCTTATGCCTAGAGCTAGGCTGCACAATCAGTGATCAAAAGGACCTTTCTCAAATTGGACAGGCTCGTGCAGGGGCCATATCCCGTGATAAAGGGGTGTCCAACAGCTCCAAAACTCGTATGTGGTTTGTGCTGAGCCTCAGGCTCTGCAGGTACACAGGAAGCTAACAGTGCTTCTGACAGAGCTTGACAAATCTCTGTGAGTAAAACCCCAACCAAACCCAAACCCCACAGGGACAGATGATTTCCCTCTTCAGCTCCAATTCCAGCAGACCAGGACCACTGCTGCGATAGCAGCTCCCGGAGTGCTGTCTCTTTGCAGGCAGGAAAGGCTGTACTCACTGATGAAGATGGCGAAGCGATTGTCACGGGAAGGTTTCACCGCAGGGCTGTCAACTACATGCAGTGTGTAGCGGGGCCTCCCACTGGCTTTATCGCACAGATCCAGGGAAAGCTGCTCCCCACAGGGGGCTTTGCTGAGCTGGCTGCAGAGCAGGGCGTAGTGCTGCCTGTCTTTCACCGCCTCCACAAGCCGCTCTGTGCTCTCCAGTCGCAGTGGCTTGTCTTGCTCCTCGGAGCAGATCTCCAGGATCTGCAGTGCAGAGCCAGGGATCTTCCTGAACTTTGTCATGACGTAGACAAAGACCGGCAGGACAAACTGCTGCTTGTCCCCGCTGGTAGCCACTTCATGAACACGCACTACCCAGCCCTCCTGGGAGAAGTATCCCACTGCTTTCTTCAGCACATGGGCTTGAGCCAAAGAGACACAGAGGTAGCGCCCTCCCACCTGCAGGACCCGGCTGATCTCAGCAAACATCCTGTCCACCTTAGATAGAGTGACCTCCTCATCATCGGTGAGTATGGCATCCAGCGTGCCTTTGTCGAGAGCCACTTGGAAGTGGGCATCCGGGAAGTCCATGTGAAGCATGTCCATCTGCAGGTAGCTCATCTTTGGCCTCTTGCTCGCGCTCCGCTCCTGCATCTGGCGGATCACGGCATCGCTGATGTCAATGTTCACAATGTCCTCACACATCCCCGTGTCGTACATCTGCTCACTCAGCTCCGAGTTCCCACAGCCGACCACAAGAACCTGGGAAGCAGGACAAGAACAACAGTGATGGTGAGGGTGCCCTGCATACACATCCCAAAGCGTTTTACAGTGCAACAATAGGACATTAACTCAGAGCCCTCAGCAAGAACCACATCCATAGCACCTCCTGATCTTCCCCATGGCCCTAACAACAATTCCATAAAGGCAGATGGGCACAGAAGCGACGTGCCTACGTTGCCTCTCTTTTGGGGATTATCTGGATGATTTAACCCCATGGTGGAACAACATGTGGGTTGGAGGTGAAGGAACACCTTCTGATTTCTTACTACAGCACACTGGAAACGTCACATTTCTTGTGCCAAGAGCTGACAGCTGAGTACGGAACACTGTGTTGCAGTCTCTTTCCCTTCAGTTAGTCAGATCTCACCGTGCTGCTAATTCAGTTAGCAAGGGCAGGGGGAGAGTCTCCCCAGGCACCAGCCAGAGGGCCAGCTGAAATGACACAGTCTGTAAGAGCACGGTTGCAGCACAAGCAGTCAACCCAGTTGTGAGGCAGGGGGGTTACAAACAAAGCTCAGATGTGGAGAGCAACCCGGGCGGAACCGGGGGATCTGCACGGCAGAGCGAGAGGAAGCACGCCGAACCGGGAGAGGAGAACGAATCGGGCCTCACCTTGTCGCGGGGCCGCACATACTTGAGCAGCACAGGGCACAGCTCCGGGAACGCCCCGTACCACTCGAAGGGCCGCTGCCCGCGCTGTCGGAAGAATCGGTCCCAGTACCGTGCCGAGCCGAACTCCCCGGGGCTGCGGGGCAGCAGCTCCATGGCCCCGGTTCGGCCGTTCGGTTCGATCTGGGGCCGGTCCCGAACACGTGTTCCCGTACCGCGCCCCCACTGACGGCATCCGAGCGCGCAGCGCTGCGATTGAGCGCAGCGTCCGCGCCGCTGATTGGCTGCTGCCCCCGCCTCGACTGCTTCCTATTGGCTACCGCTCAAGAAGGGCGGTACTTCCCGCATCGGTGGCGCCCGGGGAACAGCCGCGCCGAACGCTCGTTCTCCCGGCCCGGAGAGGCGCAAACATGCGATGATCTCAGCACCTTAATTAACGTGCACCTGGGTTCTGCAGGCATTTCTGAAGCAACACAAATAGGGAAGAAAAAAAAAGCAGCAGTATTCGTGGCTTCACCGTGAGCAACTTTAATATAAGCATGTGATGGAACCGAGACCTTGCAGGGCTGTATATGAAAAGTATAGCACCCAGTGTCTGTGGGCACAGGGATGCTAGCTGGGACTGGAGGGGGCCTCTGTTGGGTTGCTCTGAAGGAAGAAGGCAGAGAGCTCGCTCAGTGCACGGTACCGGTGTGAGATGGAGTTCTTCACAGCCTTGGGCAGCTCAGCGTAGCTGGAGTGGAAAGAAACCAAGACAGTCCTCAGCAGCTGAGTTGCTGCAGCATGCCCCCAAGACCTCCCCTTTGCCTTGCTTTGCTGCCCGACCACAGTGGGGATGTTGGCAGCGATACATGTTGACAAAACCAACGACCCCCATACTGATGCTGGGTTTCTTTGTAACCCCCCATTCAGACCCAGAACAGTGTTTTCTCCTTGCCAGCACTGCTTGTATGCAGTTCTTCTCAGTATAGAAACAAAACACAGCCCCCATCCTTTCCTTTCTTTAAAATTCCCATGAAGTGCTGTAGGGAAAAAGCCACTTACGTCTGGTCATAGCCATCAGGCTGAAAGCAGGGATCCCAGCCAAAATCTCGAGGACCTCTGGGCTCAACAATCACTCCCTACCATGAAAAAGCCAAAGAGCCCTGTAAGTGGTTCCTCAGCACTGCTGGTGCAGTCACATCTGAAACACAAGCTGCAAAGCGGCACTCAGCCGCCCATCAAAGGCTTGATGCTGCCCTAATTTCTCAGCACTCCCCCAAAACATGACCAAAATTAGCAGTGCCGAAGTCAGTGTTCCATCAGGGTGCTGTTTGTTGGCAGCCCCTTCACTACCCTCCACACCCCCCAGACTAAGAGAACTAACAACTGCAATCCAAGCAGGGTCAGTGACCTCACTTGCTGACATTGTCCTTAACAGAGCCAATGCTATTACAAAATGCACATTACAACCCCACCTACATGTGTCTGGCCTTTGAACAGCTTCACGGGCTCCTCTGGGTTTCCAGTACTGAATGCAAAGGTGCAAAGAGCATAGGCAGATTTGTCCTCAAACCCAGCCAGCAGCTTGTACAGGCCTGAGCAACAGAGAGGATCCTGGTGTCAGTGTGATTCCAGGAGAGCGCAAGACACCCACCTAGAGACGGATCAAGGGAGTGCTCTGCATTCACATGGACGAGGGAGAGGAAGAACCACAGGCATTACAAAGGTAAGCTGAACCGATGCTTTTGGCTGAATCCCTCCTATCCTTGAGCTGCAGGGCCCCAGAATTAATTTGGGAGAAGAAACAAAGAAGTGCATTGCATGAGAACGACTAGAGCCCCTTGTCAGAGCGATTAACACTCCTGCTCACAATGCCAATACAGAAGCCAGAGATCACAGGTTTTCCAGGTCACCTCTGTGAAAGACAATTCCCACAGACCCTGCCACCAGCCCCTGGGGGCAGAAGTCTGGGAACCCAGCAACGCAAGGATGATGCCAAAGCTCCTGAGGGAAACAACATCCAGTGAGGAAGGGAGCAGAACAGTCTCAAAAAGAGCACAAAGGGACAAAGCTGTACAGACAAAGGAACCAGCAATGAAGTAGGCAGCCAGGTGGGGGAGCACACTCAGCAGCACCCAGCACAGGCAGGGATTCCTTTCCCGTGGCACATTTGTGCACGGCAGCCCAAGACTGGAAAGAACAGTTACATGCAGACAGTGCTACAAGAAGCAGTACCTTCTGGCTTGAGCTTTTCCAGAAACCATTTTCTGAAGGGGGAAAAAAGGAAGAAAGACAAATTTTTGCTGATGTTACTCAGAAACACACCTGTCCTTGAAGCACTGTTGCCTATGCTTTCACAGCTCTTTGAATCCCTCTTAAATGTACTGCCAAATCACCTCATTCTGGGATATTTACAAATAAAGACAAACCTAGTTCTTAAACTAAATGGGACATAGGGAAAACAGTGGTGGGGTATTTAATCTTAACTTCTGTGCAAATAAGCTAGTTCTCACTCACAAACATCAACAAGCTAAAATACATTTCTTAATTCCACTTGTTCACATTTTACACTCATTTGTAGTGTACATAGAATAAGTTAAAGCTTTTATGACTCTGATTAGTTTAGCAGAGTTTGAAAGAGTTAATCACAGCAAAAGATAATCCTAGAACTAAGACTGTATTTTAATAGAAAAAATACACAGCAACGTAATGATCCTGTACCAGCAGGATTAAAACAGGCCTTTATGAGACTCTAGGGGACACTCACACAAGAGCACCCCCGACACACCTGGTGTCTCAGAGCTCGGTGTGGGGCTCCCAAGCTGGCTGCAAGAGCAGGCATCCAAGACTGGGCACCTGAGGGAACAGTTCAGATCTGTCTCTCCTGTCCTGTACAGCGCATTACAGCACTCCTCATGTCCTGCCCCCAGGATGCAGAATTAAACAGAGGACACACAGCACCTCCCTGACCCTACTGCCCCTGGTGCTTGGAGTTCCCTGTAAAGCACATCCTGCCAAGCCATATTCCTCGCTCTAGAACAAGAAAAGTGAGGCAGGTTCTCATCTACTTACATGTAAGGTCCTGGAAGTCCCCCCAGGGCATTGAAGCACAGGCAGGTGTCCTCTACTATAACAGGCCCCCGAATCTGCAGCAAAAGCAATATCAAGCCTCAAGGAAGATACTACCAGACTCATTTCCCTCACTCAGTCCTGGTCTCATGCATCCAAGATAATAAGAACAATTCAGCAGCTATCAAAGCCCTCCCTCCAGTGTCAGCCCTCACCACACAGCCCACTGCGTCCCCAGCAGGGGCTGAGCGGTGGCAGGGAGGTCCTCTCACAGAGCAAAACGAGCAGAGCTGCACAGCCCTGACCCTAACGGAGCAGTGGGATCACCAGGAAGGTGCCCAGCACGAGCACCGACAGGTGGAAAATTCTGCACCGCACAGCCGCCAGGGCCGCACTGAGGGACGGGACACGTCTGCTCGTTGCTCTGGGGACGAGAGACCACAGGGGCGGCAGCAGCGCTGTCTAAGGGCAGCGTCCGCCCTCGAAGGAAGGGCACAGCAGCGGGTGAGGGGCACAGCCGGGCCCCGTCCTCCCCCAACAGCAGAAGCGAACCGGGAGGCGCTGACCTGCCGGGCGGCCTCACGGCACTTCTGCACGGAGATCTCGTCCGGCTCCCCCTGGTACTCGGGCACTGGGGACACACGCGGGCGGTCGCTGAGGAGGCGGCCGGGCCGAGCGCCGTCCCCCCGCCCCCGCCAACTTACGGTCAATTTTCTTCGCCACCAACGTGTACGGAGAGGAGTCCCCGAGGATCTGAGTGACCTGCGGGAGGCAAGGGGGAAGCGCGGCCGTCAGCCCCGCTTCCGATCCCACTCTCGGGCCTCGGCTCGGGCGCGGGCCCGCAGGCCCCAAGGCCGCTCGTTGCCAGGCGACCGCCCCCCACCTCCTCCAGCTTCTTAGCGTTGCCCGTCACGAACACCACGCTCCTCCGCACCGGCGCCGCCATGCCGCCCCACGCCTGCGCGCTGAGCAGCCAATCACCAGCCGCGGCGCCGTCACCCTCGGTGACGTCCGACCAATGGGAACGGCCGAGCCTCCGTGGGCGGGCGCGTTGCCTTTGCGGGTACGCGTGCGCGCGATCGAGCGACACAATCTCGCGAGAACTGCCGCGTTGCCATGGAGACCGCCCGCTCCGCTGCCGCGGCGGCGGCAGTCCCGCTCCGCCCCGGGACCCCGCAGATCCGCGCCGGGCTGCGGGAGGCGGGGACGGCGCCCGGCTCTCCCTGCCCTGTTTTCCCCGAAGCCATGGGGATGATGGAGCTGGGCCCCGGGCTGCGCTCCACGCTGTGCTGTTTACTCCAAGCTCTGGCAAGCCTGCGCTTGGTGTGACTGCAGATTTCCTACGTGGGAGCGAGCAGATTTCATCTTTCTGAACACACCTGCGGGAGCAGCTGGTCCTCATAAAAACAGGGTCAAAGGATGCTCCCTTGTGGGTCCTACTCTTTTAATTTGTACAAAAACAAATCAAATCCTTCCCAGATGCATCGTAGAGACAGAGCTCTGTGCTGGCTGCAGCCCTGGGAGAGGAGCTGAGCCCTACAGAAATCATAGAACGGCCTGGGCTGAAAAGGACCACAATGTTCCTCTAATTTCAACCCACTGCTGTGTGCAGGGTCACCAACCAGCAGACCAGGCTGCCCAGGGTCACATCCAGCCTGGCCTCGAATGCCTGCAGGGATGGGGCATCACAACCTCCTTGGGCAACCTGTTCCAGTGCATCACCACCCTCTGAGTGAAAAATTTCCTCCTAATATCTAACCTAAACCTCCCTTGTCTCAGTTTAAAACCATTTCCCCTTGTCCTATCACTGTCCACCCTTGTAAACAGCCGCCCCCCCTCCCGTTTATACGCTCCCTTCAAGTACTGGAAGGCCACAATGAGGTCTCCCTGAAGCCTCCTCTTCTCCTACCTAAACAATCCCAGTTCCCTCAACCTTTCTTCATTACAGAGGTGCTCCGGCCCTCTGATCATCTTAGTAGCCCTCCTGAGCCCCAACACTCAGTGCCCAAAAGGCAGAGGAGAGCACTGCCCTGTCCTGGCCATACGCAGGATCCTGGGATTCCACCACAGAACCCAGCACCCCTGCTCGAACACTGCTGTCCCTGAAGCTCCATTTTACAAAGGGCTTCACAGGGAAGAACCTTCTCTTCCTGTAAGAGCAGAGCCAGGAGCACAGAGGCCTGTCCCTCCTGTTTCAGCACAGCAGCCATCCATCCCTGCAGCCTCCTATCCTTAGGTGCAGGGACCCCCACGTCCCACTCCACAGGTCCCACTGGCAAGCCTGGAGGGAGCAGCAGCCCTACACAAGGAATGGGTCCCAGCAGCAAGCCTGGGAAGGAGAAGCAGCTCTGCAGGAGGAACATAAAGCACCAGCCAAGGCACACCACTCCCTGTGAAAACCGATCGCGTGGAAAACAGCAGCTAATGAGGAGATCTGGGCAAAGAGGAAATGGATAAAACAGACACTATGCTTGGGTGGAGTTATTTTTGTTGTGAAATCTCCTTCATAACGTCTCCTAAGTGAAAACCAAGCCCAAAGCACGCAGGCAGCTTCTTCCCATCCCTGCTGGGAATAATAGCCCTTCCCTATCACTGCAGCTGTCCCTGCACTCAGACCCTGGCAGGACTATAAAGACCAAGGCACTGTTAAGGAGAACAAGGAGGACTGCTCCGTAACATAGCTGAGACTAGACACTGCAGTGGCCTTTTCAGCCTTGAAAAGCTATGAACTGCTTGATAAACTGTCAACAGTCACAGGACTGTTATTTGCTGCTGACTCTGCTTCCCAGCCAGAGACAGTCTCTTGAGAAGGTCTGTGCTTAGGATGACCCTGCTGTTCAGGGTCTTGAACCTAAAACATAATCCTGGCAACCCAGAGGGGAGTAGAGTGCTGAGGGCCTTGACAGCTTTCCCTGCCCCACATCTTAAGTACAAATACTTACACCCCAACCTTCTGCATGAGACTGCAAAACCACCTGGCCAGAACTGAGGCAAGCCAGCTTTTCAGGTGCCTTGGGGGCACTTGCTTCAGTTCCATTGGTATCAGAGGATGAACACAAGCAGGAGGGTGTAAGGTTTTTTCTCCATGGATCCAGGTCAGCTGAAAATGCATCTGCACCTTTCTGCAGCAGCTTACTGCTGTGACCAGGCTAAGGACAGCTGTTCTCAGAGCAGTACACTTGTGCTCACAGGTATCATTTAATGCAAACTGAAAACACTTTCTATGGTCAGGTTGCTGGCAGATATCCACCAAACCCAGCAAGGACAGAGCTCTCCACCGGTGGCTTTGTCATTCTTGCTGTTCACATCCATCTTTGTCCCTCCAACACCTGCACCAGGCAGGGAATAGAGTCCCCAGGGGAGCCAAGCTGCAGCTGCTCCTTGGTTCAGAGGAGCAGGCAATAGAGAAGGACGTAGCAGCAGCTCCTAGGTTTGGCAGCTAGTAGCAATTATTTAATAGAGCAGGATCACCAAGAGGCCTTCATGCAACCAGCATAACCAGCATCCATTTACCAAGGTCAGCTCAGGATGGATGTGAAGTCCTGCCACATTCTTGCAGTGTCCAGGTCCTTCTGTAAGTAGCAGCAGCAAATGCAAGATGAGTCCAAAAGAGAAAGCCAGAGGTGCCAGCAGGGCCTTCCGACGGCAAAACCTGCCCTTACATGCAGCAAAAGAGCAGGCAAAGCATAGTCATAACATGGGCTCACGGTGCTGCTTACTCACTTTCCAGCTGGCAGGAAAAGGCCCCCAATACTCAAGTGAGACTTGCAGACCTGCTGAAGACAGACAGAATCCCCCTTCATCTACCCTCTCAATCTTTTGCATCTGGAGAGCAGCCAAAGGCATAGGCTGAGTGATTTTTATCCCTTCCACTGGATGTCTGATTTTGCCCTCAGGATCTAAAAAACGTGGCAACATGTTAAGAGGAAAAACCCAGCTTGGCTTTCTGATTCCCACCTGGAGTGAACAAGGCACACAAAGGGGAAAAGCACTATTTATACACAAGCAGAGCAAGTAGAGCTTGTAATCACATCTAGCACTTCAGCCTGCTGTGCTCACTTCTAATCCTCTTCTCTGCATGGATCAGCACCACCACTCAGATGGAAACTGTGCACGAGGTCCTGGGGGCAGGTCCATAAGGGAAGGCTGGGTGGTGGCATAAGAAATTCTTTTAGGCACTATTTCCCCTTCTGCCCCAGTAGAATTCCTTCAGGCACAGACTACACAGGACAATGTTCCTCTCATCAGCAGAAAAGAAACAGCACAAGAACCAGGAGAGTGAGAAAAAACAGGAGAGACTGATTTCAGCTAAAGTTCTAGGCTCAGTGCAGGAAGGAACTAGGGTCACAAAATAAAGTGCAGACAGAAATGCCACCAAGCTACAGCTAAACAGAAGGGGACTCGTGGCTCTTGTGCCAAAATACATCAGTCCTACCTGTGGATGGACATTCACTCCCATTTAGTCCAGCACTACAGCGCCACACCACACCAAGTTACCAGGCTTGGACACAGCCCCTGGCCCACTCAGTTGCAAGGATGCAAAACAAGCTGGCGTTCACAACCACCACCACTAACAGCACCAAGGTGAAGGGCTCTGAGTATAAAGTGGGCTTGGTTTATTCTGGGCTGATATAAGGACAGTTGCCATCTTCGTGTTGTGTCTTGTATCACTGGGATAACAGAGAGCTGGGCTTTACACACTTCTTCCTTCTGGTTATGAGAACACCAACACAGCTCCTTTCCTGGGGATTCCCAGCAGTTGAGAAAAGGCAAGCGCAGTAACTTCACATGTACAGTCAAAAATAGGTTTACTGGAATGTCTTTAGTCACATCTGTAAGCAGCAATACCGAAAACACTGAGCTTGTGCATTCCCATGGATTGTAAAACTTAACTATTATTTTTTTTCTTTTGTAACATGAGAAAAACAATACCCTTACAGTTCTCCACAGAAGGGTCGGTCTCCTGGAACATAATGGTGTGTTTCCCTAGATATTCTTCTCCTCCTTCACCCTGATGAAAGGACAGAGTCCCTTTTGCCTTCCACACCAGGAAGCAAGGAACTGTTCAAACTTTAAGTATTTTTACAACTCAACCATATATACAGATAAACCGCAGTGGCAAGTAGATGGCTCCAAATCAGAGACCCAGCATTCCACAAAGCAGGCAGTTTGGGAACTGAATCTTCTGTTATAAAAGTCTGACAGCAGGAGCAGGTACTTGACCAAAGAAAAAAAATAAAATAAGAAAGGGTCAGTTGGCAGTTCTCAAAATGCTCTGTTAGAACTGGCTACTTGCCGCCGCTGCCTCCTTGCTCCTTGGAGAAAAACAACTTCAAAGCTATATACAGACATCTCACTTAAGTTACACAGCAGTTTGTTTATCCCACAGCCAGCTCCACTGAAGCCTCCAGCTGACCCACCATCAGGTACGGTACTTCAGGACTATGGGTACTGGAAAATAAAACACAAACAGGCTCTCAGCCAAACACCTTCACGTGCAACAGTGACACTGACAGAGAGAGAACCCCTCATCTCTGCAGTGAAAACACCAAGCAGCCACAAGGGAAAGTGTGTCTTCAAGCTCAAGTCAAGGCAAGCAGCTGCCAGCACACATGCTAGACAACATTTCCTGCCACCTTCATCTCCTTCCAGCTTCCCAAAATTAAACCAGATGGGATTTTCCATCAGTCTCTCTTTGCTGCCAGCTCTGCTTCTCCTGCTCCTAGCTGTGCATCAGCAGGACAACAGGCCACGAGGATTTTGCTGAAGGGCAGCACAAGAACTGTTATAGAGATGCCTCCAGAGCACGAGCAGCAATAGACAATGGGAGGAAAACCCTCCAGACCCAGTGGCACAGAAAAGCTGCACTACTGTGCAGGGCTGCCTGAACCCCTGGAGCATGTCCTTTAGCATGCAGAGTGCTGAATTACTTCCCATCCCCCATCTCCAGAAGAAACATGCTCTGGTTATTACCTGTTCCATTACTTGCAGAAAATTAAGCAGCCTGGCTCCTTTAGGAAGGAGCACTTTCTGGAAGCAGGCCTATTGCAAAATGGCTGATAGACATGGAGAGGTGTATGGAAGACACTGCTCTGGTCTGAAACCTTTCTACCTACTCTCACCAGCCACACAGCCTTGGGATTGACCTGTGCCAGCCCTCCATCAGTACAGTGTTGGCAACAGTCCATAGGACTTGGTTTGAGCTTGCTCCTCTGCATGTACATTTAAGCTTTGAAGAAGAGAAGCGTGGTGTGGGCTACAGACACCAGTTATAACTACTGAATAGAGTGAAGCCCAATGGGAGGAACTCAGGTGCTCTGCCCTGAGGGACAACAGCAACAGCATCACTCAGTGTGCAGAGCAATGAGAATTTCAGTGCTAGAATGAATGGGGTGACCTGGAGCTACTCACTGATGATCACGAGCAGGAGGACGATGGCCACCAGTGCTATGATTGCCTTCATCTGCAAGAGGAGCACAGACACATGTTACGTGTGGCACCCTGTGTAGCTCCTGCATCTTTTCAGTTAGAAAAATGCTTAAACTCTCTTTTCCACCA